GATGTGGTGCGCTTTGAAGATTTTTCGGAGCTGTGATTTGTCAAAATGACTGATAAGTTGTACACCATTTTTCTTTATTCCCTTAAAATTTCATGCTTATATATATGTGTTTAGCAGTTTTTGCGTAATCTTGAAAAATGTGGGAGTAACTAAGGGAAAAGCGGCATTGCCATTTGCGCATGCTGGGTAAACGACCGGCGGCTGGGAAAATTCCACTGAGTGACCTCATCAGCCATCGGGCGCTACAAATGAGGCCCCGCTTATTATGTGAACCGGAAAGGGGGGAGGATACTTGAAAACGAAACGGGGGCCTTGATAACTTGCCTTTGTGTTGCAATTAAGTCACAATACAATAGATGTAGTCTTTTTTTTTTTTTTTTTTCTTTTATGCATGAGAGAAGAATAGAAACAAGAAAAGCAAACATCTTGAGAGGTGATATAGGCATTGTGTTTGCGTTATGAAAACCTATTTCCCCCTCTTGAGAAAGCACATACTTGGACTCGTCATGTTTGCTCTGTTTGGAAAAGTGGGGCTGTAAGATTGTTATTAAAGAGTATGGTACATATTTAGTCCAGTCTGGGAAGATAGTCTCGTTTATACATTGTAATCGTTCACGCGTGTGTGCGTGCGCGCCTGTGCCTGTGTGTGTGTGAGAGAGAGAGAGAGAGAGAGAGAGAGAGAGAAGGGGGGGGGGGGGGTCTAAATATCTGTTATATTTGTAGTATGTTTTGTAGCCTACACATGTGAAATATTCCCATGACTTGTAAACTATTCTAAACGTCGGAGGATGGTTTGACGTAAAATTTGTGCACCAAATAACCACCATGACTGAGCCAATTTTGAGGCTTGCTTGTAGCGAAAATGACTGACTGTAGCTGTTTGGACAGTCTGCTATGGACGGATTAAAGAACAAAAAAACTTGAAGGTTTCACAGTGCAATGCCCATTGGTACATGTGATGGCTGGAGAAGTGACAGCTAAGGCAGGTTCAACTATTTTGCAGATTTCTTTTTAGTAGTGACCATTGGCTGACAAGTGTAGCAGACTTGCCAAGCGCAGGGTGATCCCCAAAAAAGCTGTACAACTTTTTTTTCTAAATATCTCGCACGAAATTTGAACTAGAATGTTGCAATTTTGAAACAAATATAATTAATTCAAAAGGAATTTGTGGGACATTAACTCTCTCGTTTTCGCCACTTTTTGAGAAAATTGTGTTGATTCACAACCTCTTCAGATCTTTGCCCTGGTGTGAGTAAGTCTTGTACTATACCCAGGCTTATTATGTATCTATGTAAAGGAAATTGAATGTAGAATACAGTAAAATGATAACAATTAATTTTTTTATGTCTGCTTTCAGTGGTGACCTACTTTAACTGTTACTAAAAATAGATTGCGAACACAATTTTACATGAAACTGACAAACATAAAGAAGGAAAAAAAAAAGTATGATCAGATTGACCAAAAATTTATTGATATTCTAAAAGAATGTCCATTTCTGCTCATGACAGACAAAGAATGAATAATTTAGGACCCATATGAACACTTTGGTGGCACATGGAAAATTACATGTATTTTGGAGATAATTGTTACCGAAAATAGAATTTTCACAAAATTCTCTGATTGTGCCAAGATTAGGCTATGATATTTCTACAAAAACATTCAAATCACATTATTTGACAATAAAAGAAGAGAATTCATCATCTAAAAGGTTTATAAACCAACTGTGATGCTAGAAAAATTAAAACTTGAGTTGAAAAATAGTGACGAAAACATTTGTGCCTATATTTCCACCCAGAGTTTGTCATTGAATACAAAAAACATTACTCATACTCATTAGCTGGATGATCTAAAAGAAGACAGTTTCTTGTGCTACTAAAACAGAAGTTTTTTCCACACTTGTAACATTTGACACTAGACACTTTCTCAAGACGATAACAACGAAAACAATTTCTGCGCTAGAGATGGACGAGTCTCTTTCATTGCCGCAAGGTTGGCCTACTCGTAGGTGTATGTGCAGATCTGCAATACAAATGCCTTCATTCGAAAGAGTGAAGAAAGCACTTGTTGGAAAATAGAAACACAAGAAAGAATTGTTGATAAAAGCCATCCATGATAAGAGATATTTATATATGATAAGATAAATTTGATGGATCCACGAGAGAAATTTTAGGTGGATATATAGGCTATACCAGTACATCAACATACAACATTCAGCAACAACACAGCAAAGTACACATTACAAATTATACTACGCTCGCACCAATGCACCATTCAATCAGACAAATGTACACACACAGTACATCTGTGCGGGATGAACCCTTCTCTCCGTCTCGCTCATTCTTTTACCCTCTCTTCAGCCCCCCCCCCTCTGTTTCTCTCTTCCTTTCATGCAAGAGCACACACACAGACACACACAGACACAAATACACACACACACACACACAGTGTTCAACAGATCAACAGTTAACTTTGAACATAACAGACATCCCAATTTGTCCGTAAATTCTTGTTATAGCTAAAGTAAATGAATAGTCAAGCAAAGCATACAAATTGTTTCATTATTTGAGAAAAAAAGCCTGAGCATTAGCAATATCTACTGATTTTTTATAGCCTTGTTGTAAAAAAATAATGATTATAAAAATGCAAATGGACCAGGGAAAAAATTCACCTGGTGTCAGATATTTCCGCATTTTGTTTGGTCCGGTCCTCATCGAGATGCAGGCCTGGCCGCAGCGTCGGCTTGAACTTGGGTACCTTGCATCGTCCGCATCACGTTACGAACCAATGAAGTCACCCCTGTCGGAAAATGCACAGGAACAAGGCATGTTAGAACAAGTCCAGCAAGACTTTTTTTTCCACCACTCCAATCATACCACTCTCCAATTGTCAGACTCAGTTTACAAAAATATGACAACTCGCAACTCATCTGAGCTGAGGTCACATAGACTCTAGATCTAGATCTAGATCTAAATAAATTATTCCCTTGCTCACATAAAAATTAAAAATTGATGATACATATAAATTGAAACAAATAATAACAAACTGCAGTAGATAGCAAACGTTATCAATCAGTTGTAATGTTGTCAACTAAGAGAATCGTCTCAGGATCCGCCATTTTGAACGTAAACAAGCAGCTAGCAACCACACCTTGGGTACAAAAAAAAAAAGCCAAAAAAATAATAAAAGCGAGAAAAACTTATCAATTCTAACCAATTTCATAAGAAAACACAAAAAGTTTAATCATTTATACAATAAAACACACGTTTTAGTACCCCCAGGGCCAATATTATGTTTCGATAGGTCTACCTGTTCATTGATGCTCAGTGCAATCATCACTAACCCGTTGGCTGCACCACTTGGTCCTGGTTGAGGACTTGCTACGGCATTGTCAGACTCTTTATCTGATTCAGAGTCTCTGTCATCGATAGAAAACTCACTAAATGAGTCATCCAGACCATAATCGGGGTCAGAATCGGACATTTTACTTGAAAACTTGTTTGTTTTTTGTGAAGACAGTCGAGCAGCTGTTCTTTGTTTACAAAATGGAGGCGAAGGAAACGAAAGTGGTCTGGAAATTGAGGTCATTATCCGGGCACCTCTAACGGCTAACTCTTTCGAAAAAGGAGTTACAAATTGTGTATTTATAAAAGTTTAGCCATTCCTTTACCGAAATAAACCACATAGCAGACTCTAGGCGAATTTTTATAGCGACAGTCGGCTTCGCTCTGGGCCCACCGGCCATCGACCGATATCGGTCGATATACAAGGGCGTGAACTCGAGAGAGTTAAATTCACAAAGAAGAAATTTAAATTTGAAAACGGAAATGACGTTTATAAAAAACACTTATAAATGCAAAATGATTTGATTTCCAAATGTTGTGTACTAATTTGAAACGCACAGCTTCAGTGTGGAGGAAAATATTAGCAAAAAAGCTCGCACGCTTTTTTGGGTTTTTTAAAATCACCATGTACTCCAATAAAAATCAGTTTTCCTGTAATTTGATTTTGCTTTGTCGAAAAATTTAATTCGGTTTGCACAAATGACTAAATTAGTCATTAGGTTAGGTCAAAAGAAATGAACTATATTGATAGTACTTCTCCTAATGAATGAGTGAACTCCTGGGTAAGAGAGATACCAGTTTTCTGCAATTGATGAAAATTAAATTTTTATAATGTTGACATTGTAAAGGTTTGTGACCAAGCTACTGGGAGTGGCTTACTGGAGATAAGAAGTTAACCCCCTGAGGTAATGGAGACTGATTTTTTTCCCCAAACTGTGATCTTCAGGGGGAGGATTACTGAAACAACCCCCTCCCCCACTCCTATTTTTGGTCATGGAGTGGTTAGCAGGTTTGGGGTAGGTCTGCAATCCGCCATAAGAAATTAGAATGTGGAAATGTGGTACCTCTTGTTTAACTGAGCAAAAACGTCAGCGTCTATTTCTTATTTTTTGTGATAGAGATTCATCAATGAATGATCATGAAGCAAAGATTTTACTAAATAAATTTGGGTGCCGGTCTTTTTTATGGTCCACCACGATGTCTTTGTTCTATTTGACAGTCTACCATCTGGTCTTTTGAAGTCACAACTTACTTGTCTATCGCAATCTTTACCACCCAAAATTCTTTGATCTTTAAATGCACTGAAGGCCAGGTCATTGACGTTTTCTTGCTAGACCTCCTTATCGCTGTAGCCTGTCAAGGTGACTGAAATCAGATTTTGTCTTCCAAATGCAAAAATTTTGTGACTGGTTCATGAAAAAGCTTCAAAGAATTGCTGCACCAGTTTGTGATTTTTTTTCCGATATCGAGAGATTTGTTGTAACAAACTTTTATTGTTGACATCTACTACTTTGTAATGCCTGTTTTCTATTACTGCTACCTCCTTTCTTGCTATTAGTCTTATTGAACTTATTCTTTTTTTTTCCATTTAGATTTATGGACCGGATGAAAAGATTATTCACTCTTGCTTATTGAACTTATTCTTTTTTTTCCATTTAGATTTATGGACCGGATGAAAAGATTATTCACTCTGGCGACAGGGAATCAAATGGAAAATACACTTTTGCTGCTCATATGGATGGAAATTACAAGTATTGCTTCAGCAACGCCATGTCAACAATGACACCCAAAGTTGTCGTGTTTTCCATTGATGTTGGAGAGAAACCAATAGGTGGGCTACTCATGTTAATTACTGACGTCTATTTTCTTACTTTTTTTTTTTTCCTGTTACTTTTTTTTTTTTTGGTCTCCCAGTTTTACTTCATTGTCCAAATTTTGTCACTGTTCTTTAAGACTCACTGAGGCTATAGAGTAACAAAATTTCTGAAGCTAACTCCTAACTTGCAGTTATAGAAAAAGTCAGAATAGTTGCATGGAAATAATATTATAATGAAAGCTACCTGAGAATGATTCACCTGGTTAGGTGCACCACATGACTTTGGATGCCTTGTTCTTAATTATAATGTTAGATGTAGATGCCCCCCATACATTTTGTTAACACCTTCCCTGCTAGATTTGCCTTATGATCTTTTTTGAATCATGAATTCACAATGGTAGGCTGCTTTGAGCAAAAAAGAAAGAAAGGGGGAGAGTCAGCCGCAAGGAATCATTAAACGCCCCGTATTATTTCGTTTGTCAATCAGATTTGCTGAAATTTGTTTCTGTGTGAACCCCTTTATTTCTGAATGACGTGCCTGGTATGTCACGAAAATACATAATTTTTAGCATTGTACCCTACCATAATAGACATCATGGAAGTTGGCAAAATTTGCAGTTCTTGATTGCCCACAAGACATTGCATGTCAGCCCCATTAATTACCTGGCTTCAATTCTTCTGTAAGCAAGTTTAGCCACAAACACAATGTGGATTCATATTTGGGAATAAAAAAGTGCGCATGCTAAATAGTATTAATTTACTGTTAGGCTTGCAAGCGATTGATAAAGACAGGTTTAGTCTTGCAGACCAACATGTGTTCTCGCAAAATGTAAAGAACAAAAAAAAAAAAGTTTTTTTTATAATTGCTGTAAATTTCTCTTTTTGATTTTCAAGCTGTTTTTTTTTTTAAAATTATGGGAAATATAGGGAATGAGAAGGAAAGTAACACTATTGAAGACCTTGGGTCCGAATATGTCACGGGTGGGCCAGTACCAGACGATGAGTCCATCAGCATTGAGACATGAGACCTGTTGTCTTGGCTAACGAGTTACGCTGAAAATCTGTGCCTACGGTGGGAACGTACACCCCCTGAGAATGATGAACGCTTAAAGGAAAGTTGTGATACATGGAGTAAAAAGGGGAGGAAAATGGGGATTTGAAATCCTTTCTTGTTAAAAGAAATTTCTCGTAAATAACTTTATGTTACACAAGAATCTACTATCCTTACTTAGTTCTAAGGACTAGTCTGACAGAGGTCTATGTTTGTGATTTTAAAAAAAAGAAAGATGATTTTTTATGCTTTATGCATTCTTTCTGAGGTACTACTAGTAACTAGTAACTGTACTGTTAATTTTGTATTATTTTCAATTTTACTATTGTAAAACTTGGAAAAGTTTGTTTTGTCCTACCTGAGTAAGTGGGTGGTTGGCAGGTGCTCTGGTGTGGTTTGCTCCTTTCCTATCAAATATCTATTGTCTTTATCTCTACTCCTTTTTTATGTTTGTTGCTCTCTTGTAACACTTTTAATCTTTGACACTTATATGACCTTATTGTGTTGCAAGTGCTGTAAAACTCTTGCTAAAACTGAAACTATCTGAGTAATGAACATTTGTTACTACTACTGTTCTTTCATTTATAAATTTTGTTGTTGTTACTTTCACAGCTATGGAAAAATCAAAGGATGGTACAGAGGAAGGAGATGGTAATGTGTTGCTTTTATTCTTACTGTATATATATATTTTAAAAAAATTTTGTTTCCTGCTTTTAAAAAAACTTCATTTTCACTGTGTATAGTAATGACCATGGTGCTGTAATGAATTAGTAGACAGACTTTAAAAAACCCCTCAAATGAAATGTTAACATGTGCTCACCAGACCTCTGTCATCTGGCTCTGGCTTACAGCAATAATGATAACAAGTAGCATTTGTGCAGTGGCAATTCCAGGTCAACAGCATGCTCTATGCAATTTACAATCTATAATTGTTTTTACAACAAAGATCCTAAGGTTCTGAACACTCAATTAAAAAAAAAAATGTTTGGTGACATTCATGGAGCTGTGAGTGGGCCACACATTTTGATAACTTAATCCCCTTGTCTTTATGGAAGTAGAATGGAGTCTGCTTAAGCCAAAATCTGCGGGACTGCTGGATTTTCAGAGGTTTAGAGAGGATTTTCAAATAGAAGGAAAAAGAAATCAGGGATTTTATTTCTTTTCAGTTTTCGGATTAAAACAGTTTGGTTTGAGCAGACTCCACTTTACATCAAAATTGCAATTTGGATGTATTCTGTTAGTTACTGGTTACATTTGTTTTTTTTATCTCCTTTTGAGTGTTTAATTGGTTTGCTTTGGTATTCATAGCTGAGTCTTGTAGAAAACACCCAGTCTACGATTCAACAATTTTTTGAAAGTCATCTACACTGTATTCACAGTATTTCCAAAATCAGTGGTATTTATTTGGTAAATTTGTGAATTTTCGCAAATGTCTTTTTGAATGGTAGTCATATCGTCCCTATCATAGTCTCACCATACAAGTGCAGACAGGTAAATTTTACAGGAAAGAGACAAAAAAACGAGTCAACTATATTCAATTCTCTTCTTACAATGTGGTTTTTGTGCCGGCCAAAGCTTTAGCATCACTCTAAATGATGTAACCTTGTGTAACACCTCCAGTCTTCGGCACCTATATGACCTAATTGTGTTGCAAGTGCCGTAAAACTCTTACTAAAGCTATAAAACACCCATACCCTTACTTTATAGCCAATAGAGATAACATTAAATTTACTGTTTGTAATTGGGTTTCAGCAAATCACAACCAGCTGACAAAAATGATCAACGAGCTGTCTTCCGGCCTGACAGGCATCAAGCGAGAGCAGGAGTACATGGAAGTGCGAGAGCGTATACACAGATCTAGTAAGTCTTTGTCCATTGGGTGTGTGTTTAGTAGCAGGAGTCAGGAATCTAACAAGGGCCGCTGGCTCCTACGCTTCTTTTGTTTTCGATATTCTAATTTATAGGGGGGGGGGGGGGGGGGAGTCATTTTTGAATTTTTGATTATGCAGTGGCTCTGTGTTAAAAAAGCCCCCCAAAAGATAGGATATGTTGTGGACTTCCTCCTTTGATCGCCCAAAATTTTCTTATTAGGTCAGGCAGACAGTTGTTGTGTTGTAAATTATGAACTTGATCTGTGGAGTTTATTATTTTTTTTTTTTAACCTGTGGTTGACTAAGGCCCTTACCAGAGAGCTGCTCCCCAGGAACTGGGTATTTTACCTGTGCTCCAGCAAATGGACCAGCAAACTGAGGTAGCTTCAGTAAACGCTTGTAGCCCTGTTATTTAAGGATTGGACCCTCATAAAGTATATATTTTTATAAAGGGGATTTAATTGTGAATGTGTTCATGTGGTTTTTGTGCAATTTAAATAAATATTAGAAAAATCTGAGTAGTTTGAATGAAGGATTTTTTTTTTTCCAAATAAAGCTAAAAATTGTACTAAACCTTCAAATACAGTCTAAGTCTAACCTGTGTGAGACGGAATCGCAAGGGAGCCAGAAAAAAAAAATTCCGTCTTAGGCATTTTCCATCTTAGACAGGGGAATTTAGTGGGGAGATTGGGGGGGGGGGGGAGGTTTCAAAGGCCCAGCCGGTGGGATCAAGGGTCGCTTGTCCGGTCTGCAAGCAGTCACAAGTAGTCAAAACTTTTCAACTCCCAGCTACTATCCTCTCTGATAATGACATGCGTCAGTCTTATTTGTCCAATTACCAATAGTGCTTGCATTTCATAGAACCACTGTTTGACCTATTAAAAACAGAAACGTTTGAGCTTCTCTTTTGCTTCCTCCCTTAGCCCCACCCATCGGTGTAACTAGCACAGTCAACCAATGCTACCCCTCACTGCAATGTAACAACGATTCAAGGAACCCTTTCTTAGGCTGGCCATACAATTAGAGTGGCAGGCATTGGTCATACTAATTTCACACCTCTGGCCTCTGGCTACCAATGAAAGTTTTCATGCTGAGCTGGAGCGCCACTCAAGCACTTTCACCGCCACTCGTGAGATTTCACACCCACACCACCCTGACCATCTTCATCACTCAGGGCTCCCATAGATGGGGTAACACCTACGCTCAAATTGCATCCCTACTCCTGATCCTCACAGGACAGCTTGGCAGTAAGTTGAGAGCCAGCAGACAGAACCAAACTTGAGAGTTCTGTTTCAAATCAGGGCTGAGTGGGCAAAACATTTTTCGTCTTGGACAGGTAAAACCCTCAGAAGGGAGTGGAGTTTTCTTTCCATTTCCGCTTTGGACAGGTTTCCGTTTTATACAGGTAATTAAAGAGGAATATATCAGGGGGGAGCAGGGAGATTCCGTAAAGACAGGTTTCTTTTCAGGCTGGTTCGAATGTACATTTTTTAAAATCAGCTGACAACCATATTGTTCGCAAGCAAAATATGGAACATTCAAAGTCCTTCACTTTGAAAAAAGAATTGTTGAAGTCCATTTATTGTTGCAGAAGTTAGGTCAATTTGAAAAAAGTCACCCATTATGAGTGTTAGACTGTCCGAAAGTCAGACAAGTATGAAGAGATTGTGAATTATCTTCTTTATTTCCTTGCATAAATACTCAGTGTAAACTGTTTCTACAATGTTTAAACATTGAAGGACTGTATGTTAGGATTATCACAAAAAGAAAACAATAAATATATTATATGTCACACATAACAACAGCAGGTCCTACTTACTCTTTGATGCTTGTTCAAAATTCAAGATGACACAGTATAAATCCAAAGTGAAAGCTTAATAATCCACAAATTAAATGGGCAATATAATGTTTTTTAAAACTTGAAAAGAAAAAGCACACTGGCCACTCATATTCTACTCTGGATACTGAATTTGGCTAACCCTCAAAAAGTCCTGGTGCGAATCCAAATGAGGTCTGAATTTTTTTGCTTCACCCCGGACTGTTCTCTTGTGTCACTTGTCTCCAGCGTAGTCTTGAAATGAATGAAACACTGTTCTGTAGCATGTCAAACTTCTTCTGAACTGCCTGTTCGGCTGCACATTTCTCATGCACGAGCAGGTTACACTGCCTATGGCCAAAGTTGGTGAGTGCAGCTGTTTGCTGACAAACTTCTTCTGCCGACAAAAATGGCACACTTTCCTCTTGCTGCCAGGGTGTTCTGCCCATCATACCTGGAATTGGAGAAAGAGTGTGTCGGGTCTGATGTTGTGCAGGTCTGTCTGTCGTCGGTGCTGTCTGCAGTCAGGCTGGAGGCGAGGTCCTTGACGAAATCCTAGTTCCCAGGATAAAATAATATTACAACTTCACTTTGTAAGAATCAAATTAGAATTATCAGTGTGCAGTGACATCACAAACACGATAGTTAAATTTTTTTTGCTGAATCTGATGCATCGAGGCTGTTTTGAAAGAGGAAACCCCAATTGAGAGCCTAATTCATTCATCCAGTGCTAGATCTGCGACAGACATCGGCGATCATGGCTCTCCATTCATTCCTCTGCTCAGATGCTCTCAAAAAAGCTACGTTTCCCTGATCTTTCCCTGTCACCCATTTGTGTAGGTTACCCAAGTATGTTGTTCTGGGCCTTCCCCTGCCTCTCTTGCCCTCAATTTTGCCTGTGAGAGCTAGGTGTTCAAGACCCTTATGTGTCCCAAAAACTGCATTTGTCGTTTCCTGATTGTTTTTAACATTGATCATCCCCCGTGGGCTTCATCAAGCACTACCTCATTTGATTTCTTTTCCTTCCATGATACTCTTAGCAGTCTCCTAAGAAACCACCTTTCTGTTGCTTCTATTTTATTTTCACTGTCTTTAGTGATTGTCCAGCATTCACAGCCATATTAAAGGGTTGACCAAAGATAGCATTTCAGAACTTTCATTTTGGTGTTCATTGAGATGTTTCTATTTTTCATGATTGGGCTCATTTTATTGAAACTAGCCTTAGCCATTGAAATTCTCTGCCTTATTTCTGTGGAACATTTGGCATCAGATGTTATCATATATCGCTATTTAAACTGTTGGGCTAGTTTGTGATCTTTTCACCTTTGCTAATGAGATTACAACTAGGCTTTGCTGCATTTTTGGATATTACCATGCATTGTTTTCTTTACATTCAACAATAATACTTTACGTTCACTTTCTGTTGCAACAGTATCTAGAAGCAATTGAAGGTCCCGTGCTCGTCTTTTGGTATCAACAAAGTGCGCCATGCTTACTTGTGGGTTTCCCGGTACGAAAGGGTAATGACTCATCGAAGCGTTTCCCGGTATGAATGGGTTTAAGTTTTTTCTTTTTTTAATGTTCATGAGGACATGTGCCTAATGTTGTTCTCTTTTCTTCCTCAGTCAATGACAACACCAACTCAAGGGTAGTGTTGTGGTCTTTCTTCGAGGCTCTAGTCTTGGTGGCAATGACGTTAGGACAAGTTTACTACCTAAAGCGTTTCTTCGAAGTGCGGCGAGTCGTGTGAAGTTCTGCTGTCTGTTGTAATTTCCATCTCATTTTTGTTGTACGTTTAGCTCACTTTGTCATCCTTATGAAACGTTACATGAAATATAAGGGTTTGGTTGCACTCATGCAATTGATAATGAAAATATTTTGATAACACCTGCAATAAGTATGTTTAGGTGAACAGGTCTGATCTCTTTGTGAAATTTAACGCATTTTTCTAGCCCCAAATTAGTACATTTCCAGTATAAGAAATTAAAATACCTGATGGGTCTCTGGATTCCAGCACCGTTGAGTCAAGTAGTAACTTATTGAATATGTTGTATGCTTTTTTGTTTTGTTTAAATGATTTTCATTGAGATTGTTTTTACGAAAACATTGTGGGATAGACTTTATTCTGATTTTTTATTTTTGCGTGTGTTTTATTCCCCTTCCTTTATCATCTTTGCTTCACTACAGTTCCCCCTCTGTACTCTCTTAAAACAATGCATTCATTTTTCCTCTTTCAAGTGCCTGATGTAATATAATGAGACTTTTGAATGCCATTTTATTTTTTAGCAGCGTGCAAGGTTTTTTTGCAGACAGCCTTTTAGGACTATTTTTAAAGTTAAGGAGTTTGGCCAAAAGTAATGATGTTATTATTTCTTTTCGCCCAACTGGTTCCTATCTAAATTTGGTTTGAAAATGCTTATGTTATTCAACAACATTGCTGTGGTGTATTCACCTGGGGGAAAATAGTTTCCTTTCAAGCTAAGAACAGCAGAAAATGTTGGGGAATTTTAGTAGTGACCAATCAGTAATTAAAAAGCTCTTTGTCTATGTGTCGTATAGACTCCAGAGAGCTTGTGTTCCTTTCTCTGAAAACCACTTCCTACATTGTCCTGTTTTACTTTAGTAATTTAAGGTGTTACAAATAGAATTGCATGGAAGCTGTGTTTAAGTGAAAAAAATTCAGACTAAAGGAATATTAGGATATTATCGTCTAAATGTTTCTTTTTGAGTCTGTTGCATCGAGGCATGAAAGTTTTATAGTCTTTTACACATTGGGGATTTCGAACATTTGTTGCAATTTTAGACCTGCTGTTTTTTCTTTTAATTATGTTGCTGTTTATTTTTAAACTGGTATTGTGAGTTGTGCAGATTTGTATTTCTTTTCAGTTTTGTTTGAAGGGTGGATAGATTTGTTTAGCGGGGCCTGCAAATTTTTTCTGTTTGAGAAATTATTTGTGTACAGTATGATGCAATTTTTTTCTGTTTCTCGTTTATGTGATTCTTTTCAATCTAACTTTAATTAAACTGGCAATCTAACTTTAATTAAACTAAATATCAATATTGTGGCAGATGTATGAAACCAAAGACAGTTTTCTCTGTTCTTTGGACCTTTGATTTTTTGTTATTAAGAAATAAAAGGTTTCTGTTGTGTACAGGAACCCTGCTCTTTGTTTGTGAGACGCTCGCCACTGATGCTGAATGTTGAGTCCTCTCGCTCACTGCCTCTACGTATGTCTGTCTGTCTGAAAGAGAGGAAAAGTTCTGTGGTAGGAGGGAAAGCTGATATTTACTCTGTATTTGAACTCATATTAGTTTCTTTGTTTTCCCTGTGGATGTCTGTCTACATACTTCCTTATTGAGGGTGTCTTGTGGTTCCTTTTGGAAATGGCATTGATGCTTCAAGGTGTATTTGCAACAGTCTCTCAATCGAGTCATTGAAAAGTACTTCTGCCTAAAGGATTGAATATGGCCTGCCTATCTGTGCACTGTCTCACTGCTCGGAGTAATCTTCCAGCATGAATGGCACTGTTGGCAGAGCTCGATTTGCACGTCGAAGATGAGTGGTTGTTATTTGTTTTGTTTGGAAGAGCGGCGCATGTCTGTCATGCATAAAGGGTTACATAAGCTTACAATGAATGTCATTTGGAAATCCGATTGTGTTCAAAATCAACCCAAGGGCAAATTATTGTCATTGAAATCGCAGTGGACTTCGGAATAATAGGTCAAGAGAAGACACTGCGAATAATTTCATTTTGAAGCAAGCATTCCAGTTTGAATGTGTCTGTTCCCTAGAGTGATACTTTACTCGAAAATACCACCTGAGAATAAAACAGTGGAAGACTTAGAAATAAAATAGTAAGTGTTGTTAGATAATTTTTGTGATTTAGTAAATTATATCAATTATCTTCCTTTTCTTTTTTTGCTTAATCCTATGTTTTTGTCTCCTTTTTGTGTCTTGGTTATGCATATTTTTTTACCTGCTGGTTAGACATGATGGCCAATGATGTGAGCGAGGCTTGAAGGGAAAGCTGTGATGATAAACTGTTGTCTGTGTGTGTGTGTGTGTGTGTATGTCAGAGAGACGTGTGTGTGTGTGTGTGAGAGAGAGAGACGTACGTGTGTGTGTGTGTGTGTGTTTGTGATGATGCACAGGAGACCGGGAAAAATGTGCACACCATGAAGGATGGTACATGTAGTTGGGTTTGTTCCAGCTATCGTTCTTTCTCTCATGTGAAGCTATGACAAAGATAGTAAATAACAAGATGGTCCACTCAGCCAAAAAAGTGTCCGCAGGAAGTGCGCTCTTTGCTTCAGATGGCGCTGCAGTCTGTTTTGAAGCTCTCTTTCGTTTTTCCAGAAGAAGAATAGGAATAGCACCTCCTTGCGTGCGCAGATCGACTGCTGTTCATCAGCAGTTCGGGTTCGTTCAGTGTGGAGTTTTAGGTTTAAAAAAAAATTGTAATGACCTCTCGCCTTTCATTCTAAAGTCAAATTAAACGAAGAAAACAATCACTCTTTCCTCTGGAAGAGGTTTTTTTGTCAGCGTAACCATTTAAAAAAAGCGTTCTTCCGAAATTCATTCAAAAACTTGCTAGTTTCACTTTGATTTTTTAAACTCAAGTAGGATAACTCTGTTCACAAAAGGTGCGCTTTTGCGAAGAGGGCGCCACCGAATTTTGAGGACACTTTTTTAATTGGCTCAAAGAGAGAAGTGGCCCCTCTTGTTATGTAAACTCTTTGGCTATGACGAGTATTTGGTTTTGCTCTCCGAGTATTTTATTTGTCCTTGTGGTAAAGACTAGAGTAGATGAGAAGTTTTAATGTAGGTTTGTAGGTAAAGAAAGAGTAGGCAATGTATGTAGAGAATGTTTTGGACTGTTCATTTGAAGTGGAAGTTACATTTAATATGTGGTTACTAGTCGACTGTTTTGTTGTTCTAGGATTGACTTTGAATCGAACTCGCCTTCCTCAATGGCGACGTGGCGAGTCCGAAAGTTTTGTTTAGCTCAGTGATTGCCTTTCCCTAGGAAGAGTTCCGATTGTGTCAGTTTGATTCTCCGATCACAGTGCAAGATAAGGATGAGAAGAAAAAGTTTAGTTCATATATATATATTATATATATATAGATAAATAGATATTGTGCGACAGCTGTGAGAATGTTTGGCATTTACTTCAGTTTGCTGTATCTGTTGCATTGTTTTTTGCATTCATGTTTTTGGTGCAGGGTGTTTCTTGGTGTATGAGAAGAATAAATATGTTGGTGAGAATGCACTATATTTGTCTTATTGTTTTGTTTTTTTCTGGTTGGACTAATGGACTGTGGGTGGTTGGGGGGTGCTCTGGTGTGGTTTGCTCCTTCTTTTCTATCTAACATCTACGGTCCTTGGCTCCCCTCCTTTTCTGTGTTTGTAACTCTCTTGTAACAACTTCAATCTTCGGCACTTATATGACCTTATTGTGTTGCAAGTGCTGTAATACTCTTACTAAAACTAAACTCATGGACTATTGTCTAAATGTGCTTGTATTATTCTCAGACTGGTTTTGTTTATTTAGTCTCTGGCTGGTTTGTATGTGGATTGTAAACTATCTGAACGTCGTGTTTTACTGTCGTATCCATACGACGTGGGGAGCTCTGTGCCACCACTTCCATAGAGGAAATTTACTCGTTAATCTGATCTGTACGCTTTGCTTAGCAGTGTGTCAATTTTTGTTGTTGAGAAATACTGTAAGTTTCAAAGAGATCTTCGTTCTCAAAGTATTCTAAAATGTGAAGAATACAACCACAGGGGTACAAAATGGCCCCATGGCGTACGGATATAAGGTTAATGGGTGTTCAGGTGTGGTTTGCTCTTTTCCTGTCGAACGTCCATCATTCTTATCTCTCCCCCTTCTGTTCTTTGTATTTTACTGTGTAGCTATGCCTCCAATCCTCAGCTTTCATATTCATATAATTTATATGACCTAATTGTGTGACAAGTGCTGTGAAACTTGCTAAACCACCTAAGAAAAATAAGTCTTGAACTTCAAGGTAATGGTGTGGGTTGATTAAGACCCATTTCAAAACTGTAAGGTTACATTTAGGAAGCAGGACCACTGAAGGTTGCCTCCATATCAGGACAGTCATGGAGGTAGAGACGAAACAAAAGAGGTGGAAAGTTTTGGTACAAAATGACTGGAGTTCAATTTTCTGCATAGATTCTGGTATCCAGATGGTCAAACATAATTTCTTTCAAATTTGGTACAGATCAGCACTAGATTGGAGTTTTAAAATTGTTTTTTCAAGATCACCGAGTCTGTTGATAAAAAGGATGGCAAGCACTGATATATAGAAACCCACCTGACTGAAGTAGCTCCAGTACACTCAGGTATTACATACTGGGATTCCAGTAACTAACTATAATGTATATGCCAACGTGGTGAAATGAGGCGCTCGTCAAAATAATGAATACAAGGATATTAACTTTTTACTGCTAGTGCTAGATTTGGGAATCCTCATCATTTTTTTTTTTGGTGATCGCCTTATATTATGTCCATTTAGAATTTGCTGAAAAACTGATCAAAGGCACAACCATTGTAAATTTGCAGTTTCTAAGGGCACTCAAGCTTTGGAAGTAACCAAACTTTGGCCGCTATTTTCTCCCTCTAATTTTACCTCTGACACCAGGAGACAGCCACCCCCTTCAATTGCAAATTATTATCTAGATTCCTATTAAAAATAGATGGGTATTTTCCATCAAAAGAAAGACAAAAAAAAACAAAAACAAAAACAAAACAAGATATAACATGATACATATCAAACTCCATAATGCCCCAAAATTGACATGCACCTGATTCCACCGATTAAACACTGTCAGTACTGTCAGTTTCGTTTTTCTCTCTCTTTCCTGAACAAATCAACAACTAGGCACAGCGACACAGAAAATAAGATTCATATACACATGAATATAGAAGCACAATAATTGTTAGATTGCATTATATAATATATATACATACAGACTTCAAAATAAGTTAAGGATCACCCTGACAGACAGCCCTGATTTTTAAGAAAATCCGAATAAAAACCCCAGCAAGGAATGTTTCAATTTTTGTTTGTTCTGAAAGTGTAAATGCGTTGCCAATGCTTACTGCGCAAAGCTTCCTAAATGGCCAAAACCACCACGTGCAGCACGGAAATCCTTGGGGAATTTTAGCCAAATTTTCCTTTTATGTATCGACTTGTGTGCAACACCACGGACATTGCTCTGTTAAAAGTTCTAGTGCACGTGATAAATGAACGTATGGTCTCGAACTGTGCTCACTTTAGTGGCAATATAAGTCGCCGTTTGCGCAAAATCCAGTATCGCATCAACATGCCACCAAGACGAAAGCTGAGAGACTTTGATCGTGCCAGAGCTATGACATGGCCGCAGGATGGAGTTGGAGCCCGAGAAGTTGCCAGAAGGCTTGCACCGCAGCGTCACACTCTGTCATTGTCCGCTTGAGGCAGCCCCATCATTTTTAAGCCACTGGATCAGTCCAAAAACGCCCACGTGCAGGTCAACCCAATAAGACCACTCCGAGTGCTTGCAAGTGGTCCTTAACTTATGTTGAAGTCTGTATTTACCCAGCAGCAACAGAAGCTTTCCACTTTGCTTTCACTTTTGACAACTGCGCCCTTGTTTACGTGAGTTGGTGAGCGAAATTTTGCACTTCACTCTCCATGTACCCAACGATGACTCCACGTTGATACTTTTCCTTAACAAAAAGTTAACCACGTGGTCACGAGACCCACATGCAAATTAACACATTTGATTGTAACTTAAGTTTTCGCCGAATTTATGATATCATCTAAACTGTGTTTAAATAAACACATCGGAGACTTTAGAACCGGAAAAACAAGTTACGTAGACATTCCAGCTGGTTTTTGTCGTCTCAAATGGCTGTACAAAAATGCCAAGGTTAAATCCTGGGGAGCGCTGTTGGGCATATTGAATACTGCAAGTAAACTGTACTATCGGCCCGTAGAATGCGCTGGTTTTTCATTGCTCCCGTCTTACCATCAACATCCTGAAAGACTGGTTCCAAGTCACATGGAGTTACAAATCACTGACCCAGACAAGGCAGACCACGGTCAGGTCGATCTGCCCAAGAAGACAGACAGATACTGCCCTAGTTTCTTTGAAATCACTTTCTCACGACGACCTGCTCAGCACGTCAGTTTCATACTGATACAAGAAGTTGAGGAAAACTTATCAGTGAGAGAAGGATACAACTACGGTCTTAAAACACATTCGAACATCGAGCAAAGCGGCCTTATAATGACCAACGTTTGCCTTCTTCTCAATAATTACGCTTAAACTGACTGGACCCAAGAGGAAGCTCCCAAAAAGACATGAACATTGTACAGCGACTGGGGTAAGCTTTGATTCAAGAGTGGAATGGACTGCCACAACAAATAATTGGACTAAGCTGGCCCCGCGGAAAATCACATTTTTGAAATACAAAAATTGCAAGGTAAACCGCCTAAAAATTGCAAACAAATTGCAACCTTTCCATCCCAGGCGCATACCTTCGGGCTTAACGTTTTTAGTTTAAAAAACATGACAATTTTGAGTACCGGTAGCATAAAAGCAGCTCAGCCTTTTAAAAAATCATGACAAACAATACAAATTCATAAAATGTTATTAACAACATTTACTAGTAACAACACACGAGTACGTTAACAATAAAGTTATCGACCATGATAACGCGCGACACAAAATAACGGAACCCTCGGTTTTCGTAATAACTTTTAAATGAAGGCATAAAATTTGACCAAGTTTAGTACATACCGGGTACTTGGTTCATGCAAAAATCTAGAAGTGTATGAG